TCTTTTCTCCATTTTCTTTTTCTATTTCATCATATTTTAAATTTAAAATTTAATTTTCATAATTATAATTTTCTTTTCTCTTTTCTTTTCTTCCACTTATTTTTATTAACTTTACTATTTAAGTTTCAATATTTTAAATCTGTAATATTAAGTATCCTCACATCAGCGTCGTGATAACCAGACATATTTTGATTCAAACCGTAAAACAGTCCATTTGAGCTCGGCACCCGAAGATTGAGTCGTGCTGGAGGTGTGAGATAGTATGCATATCTATTAACACACACACACACACACACACACATATATATATATATATAAGGTACCTGTACATATTCACAGGTACCTATACATATTCATATATAAATACTTACACATACATTTACAAATAATTACACATATTTATATTTATATCTATTTAAATTTTTCTTTAATTTCACAGTTAATGTTTAACGTAAGGTGAACAAGTTAAGTGTTTAAATATCAAAACAAATATTTCTAATTTTAATATTTTGCTATCAATATTGTTAGTTAAAGTGTGATATGCTTAAATTTAAATTAAATTATCAATTTAAAATGAAATTACCTCCAGATGATAAAAATTTTAATCTCACAATTCTAATTAGAGAATATTAAAAGGGAAAGTAAGAGTAAACATTAATAAAAGTAAGATTAAACATTAATAAAAAAACTTTATATCCTTCCATTGAATACTTTTCTATATATATATATATATATATATATATATATATATATATATATATATATATATAACTGATCTATACCCATAAACACCTTCACATGTATATGTATTTATATTACTATATTTTACATATATTCACACTTATTACAAATACGAAGTCACAAATACTTACATTTATATATATATATACATATACATATACAGACTACATGCAATCTTATATACATGACACCATATATATATATATATATATATATATATATATATATATATATATATATATATATACAAACATACCTACCGAAACTTACTGTTACGTGTTGATAATTGTAACAACGGAAAAAAAAAATGATTTACCACAACACAGAGCTAAATCACAATATTTAATTTACTAAAACAGAACATAAAATATATACAGGATGAACAATTGTGGCCTACAAAACAGAAAAACAGAGTTACTGGCGAAGTGTTACGAGGAAGAAGGAAAGGGAATCAAATATCTTTATCACTTTTAGGGCTAGTGAAGTAATCTAAGTGCTATATTTGGAAATCCACAAAGGTGTGTAAATAAATATTAATTTTTTGTTTGGTCAATCAAAATTAGTCAAAATTCTATTTACCAACTTTGTTCCATAAAATTCTCTCTTGGGTTTTGGTTGGTCGGCAACTTTGTATAGAGATTCTTTCGGCTGGATGTAATAGTCCTTGAATAAAAAGCCGGAGTTGATACAGGCAACAATTTCCTTTCACCAACTAACGACCCTTTTCCAAAATCCCATTTTTATAGGGGCTAACAACTAATTTGCATATTTGAGATATTTCTCGAATCATCTAGATTTTTCTCGAATATACTAGAATGATCTAGAATCTTCCAAACATTCTATTTCTAATTTCTCTTACAACTACTTCATATATATATATATATATATATATATATATATATATATATATATATATATATATATATATATATATATTCGAATTTCAGTCGAATCCATTACATTCACTTACGTTCTAATACCCTTGGGAAAGGTGTGAATCCACTTCTTCTCCCTCCAGCTGTGGGTAAATAGCAGGACAGACTGAGTTCTATAGCCTTGGATGGCAACTGGTCTAGGAGAAGGACAGCTCTGAATTCAAAACCTGCATAGGGTCGTTTGGAGACCTTGTGGCACTTAGTGCACCAGGTCTCTGTATTCGGCCCTTCAAAAAGTGTGGATGGTCCTGCACGAAACCTTCACCAGTATAATCAAATCTTATGTGCTGTTGTCGGGCTGTCGGTTTCCTTGGAACTGATCTGCTTGACCCTCATACGTCGAATTCGACGGGAGAGTCGAATATATATATATATATATATATATACTCAATTCAATTTTACTTGATGAGTATATATATATATACACTCATCAAGTAATTCAGTTCTAGGAGCTGCTGGCGTGTTTCGTATAGAGAAAGACGTTAAAATTCCCTTCGTTTCCTACCGTACGACGATGGCCTGGAAGTAAGAGATCTGATTTATGCCGAATCAGTCGGGGTTCAATCCCGGCTTGAAGCAATCGGACATCTAGCCCCACTGAGGAGCTGTAATACAGCGAAGCAATCTGTCTGTGGATGGCTATATATATTTAAAGACAAAAAAGAAAACTTATCTTAGCCGACGCGTTTCCTCCTCTGAAGGACGTCATCAAGGCAAAAGTGCTGATTTTTATTTTTGTGACAAGAGCAAAAATATTGTTTTTTCAAAATTTTTGGTATCAAGGTGCTTATGAATATCCATCAGTTAGCGGAAAAGTCAAGCATGTTAATGGACGTGAGGTGATATAGTTCAATAAACAAAAGTGAACAGTTTTTTTTTCTTATGTAGGTATATAAAGGGTGCGATGGATAAATTGTCGTCTAAATTATGCCAAAAATGAAAATAACATTGACAACTCATTTTAACAGATATATTTACTGAAATTACACAAAATAATTTGAAATACTAAAGAGTAAATTTATTCAATAAAATTGCCATTGACTTCAACCGTGGCCTTCAGACGACTTCGGAATCTCTTGTAACTCTTCTGGACGGTCTCCTTTTTAAAACTAGTGAATACTGCCATAATCCTTGCTTTAAGTTCATCTTTATTGTTTCAAGGGGTTTTGTTGGATTCTGTGAAGCATAACACCTTCGTAATCACCTTTAGACTCATCCACCTCTTTCTGAATCCTTTACCTTGTTCTCAGATTGACGATAAAACACTCTGAAATGTTCGTGCTGCAGCTTCTGGCGTGAATACCAAGCGGTATAGCACGCTGTTTTCAAATTTATGGCAGAATGAATTGCGTCATGGCGCTCTTTTTCTCACAGACTGTACCCAACTGACCCAACTGACTCTACTATACTATGTGATCAACAACAACAAAAAAAAACAAAAAACAAAAAAAAAAACAAAAAACAGAGCGCATGCGCGAAATGAAAAATATAAAATGGCGACAATTTACCAATCACATCTTGTATATGCAAATTAGCATTAAAATTATTTGGGATTAGGAGTAATTCCTGTGTTATATGTTTTGAAGGTTATGGATTTAACCGTTTTCTTTGAATTTACTTATATATATATATTTACTTATTACACAATAATTACATTTATTGTTTTTATCATTCTACCACCACCATTACTAATCACTCCTATCAATTTATAATAACTATTAGCTACTTATATTATCATTGCCACCAATCCCTCTACAACATTACTATCACATCATATCTACTATTATCATATAAACCCGCTATAATTATTAATGTAAATTACCTCCCTCCCACCAGCATATTTAATACCACCATAAAAATAACGAATAAGGATTACAAACTGCAATTTCTACCAGTTACATATACACAGTCATCAAACCCAAACAAATAACCAGCTTTAAAATAATAACAAATAAACTTTAAAAAATTAAAAATAATAGCAATTTTTACCTATCATAATTTTACACAGATCCCACCACACGTATATACGTGCATGCGAGGAAATATTATTCAGCGAAAAAATAGAAAAATGCTCTGATTGCTGACATGTATACATTCACGAGACATTCACGAGAAATTTTCGCTACACTTCCGATCTTTGAATTTCAACATACAAATACGTATGTATATAGACAACAACACACATATACATACATGTGTCAAATCCCATACTGTCCACATATGTTTATGTCTGTATGAGCCCCGGCGGACGAGCGAGTGTGTATGTGTGTCTGCATACCCCATCGGGCGTATGAACATGCATCTATGTTTGCGTTAGGACGATGACATCACGACGACGATTCCCGCCCTACTCCCATAATAACACCAATACACGCAATCTACATAAACCCAAATTTTTAAAAAAATGAATCAGTTCGTCTGACGATCGCAAAAGCGTGAAATCCAGGGTCACAAACTCACATCAATCCAACCAAATATGTTAGCTCTATCTCTGATATTGAGCGCTTTTTAATAAGTACCGCGCATATAATATATAAATAATAATATATATAATATATATATATATATATATATATATATATATACACACACACACACACACACACACACACACACACACACACACACACATATATATATATATATGTGTGTGTGTGTGTGTGTGTATGTATTAAGACATGTCCTATTAAATAATTTAGACAGGTTTTGTCTACTTATTTTTGTCTTAGAAAAAACAAGATCCTGTCACACCTTGTAACACCGAAGATGAACAGAAGGCAAGGATTATGCCATCATTCACCAACTTAAACAGTCCAGAAGAGTTACAGTCATCTGGATGCTGTGACTGAAGCCAATGGCCATTTTACTGGATAAATTTATTTTTTTAGCATTGTAAGATATTTTTGGTGTCATTTTAGTAAATATATCCGTTAAAATGTGTCAGTGTGATTTTCATTTTTGCGTAATTTAGACGACAATTTATACATCGCACCCTGCATATATGCGTATACATAAAGTATAACAGACCAGCAAATTTTCATTCGTATGTGTTGTTAATAAAACAGAAGAAGAATAATGGCTATTTTTCTTGATTTCTTTTGTATATAGACTTGTGAAGTGCAGCATCACGACGTGCTATCAATTCCTCTAATGGTCGGAAGACCTCTTGAGCGATGTCGTCTATCCTGCTATTTATCCATTAATGGGGGACAGGGAGAGAAGAGCAGGATTCATACCTTTCATTAACACGTAAGTGAATGTAATAGATTTGATTGGAATTCGAACTCGGCTCTCCGATTCCTCAATCCGAACCGTATATCCAAGCTTACAGCACCAGGGATTTCCAAGAGGTTACCCAACTGGGTAGTGACCAATCTCGACGTTGCTTAACTTCGTTGATCGAACGGGAATCGATGTTTTAACGTGCTGTAGCCTTACCTTACATCCAAGCTTAAAGTACCTGGTATGTCCCAAGTGGTCACCCATCTAGGTACTGATCAGGCTCGACGTTGCTTAACTTTGGTGATCGTACGGGAATCGGTGTTTCAACGTGATGTGGTCATAAGCTCATTATACGACCGCATATTTAAGCTTACATCACCCGGTATTCCCAAGCGGTCACCCATCTAGGTACTGACCGGGCTCGACGTTGCTTAACTTTGGCTAACCGACGCTTCAACTGGATTTGGCTGTAAACCAGATTGTTGCAAAGGCGTACAGGGAAGGAGCAAAAGGTCTATATCATGTGGATATGCAGACTAAATAACGGTTGACCCTAGACTTGAAGAAGTTAAGATAGTCAGGGAAGCATCCTCTCGGGAGTTTGTATCAAAACAGCTTATGTAATTACCGGAAGTTTCAGTGACTAAAAGGCCTAAACGTTTTTTATTTTTAATAGATCAATGTCAGGCCGCCGCATACTCGGGTCACCGGCGACTAAAACGGATTCCCCACCGTCAGGCGCGCTTCTGTTACGGAAGGTGACTAGATACTCAGCAGAATTAAAAGTAAAGACTGTCAAATGTCGAATGAACCGATTTTAGGATCTCCGGCCATCTAGTACTATGGTGCACAATTCTTTTAGACTGGGCTTCATAGCTATGTATGCAGCCAGGGTGGTGACAATACAGCCTTGCTGTATAAAAGGATTCTTAGACTGAAGACAGTGGATAGGTCACAGGGTTTCTTGTAGTGTCAGCTGCCATCTGGCACAATTCGTATAGATTGGGTTCCATAGCTATGTATGCCGCCAGTGTGGAGATGATACAGCCTCTCTTCCTAGCCTGAAGAAAGTGGCCAGGTCAGAGGGTTTCTTGTAGGATCAGCTTCCATCTAGCACAACTCGTATAGATATGTATGCAGCCAGAACAATGATGAAACAGTCTCAATGGGGGAAAAAGCCTTCATAGACTGAAGACAGTGGCCAGGTCAGAGTGTTACTTGTAGCGTCAGCTGCCATCTAGCACAATTCGTATAGATTGGGCTCCATAGATATGTATGCAGCCAGTGCAATGATGTAATAGTCGCGCTGGGCAAAATACTTCCTAGTGGCCAGGTCAGTGGGTTTCCAGTGGCGTCAACCGCCATCTTGCACAATTCGTATAGACTGGGATCCATAGATATGTATGCACACATTGTGGTGATGATACAGCATCGCTGGGCAAAAGCATTTCTAAACTGGACAGTGGCTATGTCGGAGGGTTTCTTGTAGGGTCAAGTGCTATCTTGCACAATTCATATAGACTGGGCTCCATAGCTATGAATGCAGCCAGTGTTGTGATAACACAGACTCGCTGGGCAGAAACCTTCCTAGACTGAAGACAGTGGCCAGGTCAGAGGGTTTCTTGTAGGGTTAACTGCCTTCTAGCACAATTCGTATAGACTGGGCTCCATATCCATGTATGTAACCAGTGCGATGATGATAAGATATTGGTATATGGAGTCATCAGTCAGGGCGCAGGGTTCCCTCGGCGGAATCAATATGATCAAGACAAGCTAATTTGGCGGGATATCGATTGTGGTCTAACGCCACCAGGTGTATTTACCCAAAACACGCTACACATGAATGAATATCTCTCCGGCTTTCAAGTAAGATAAGTTGAGAGAACGGTCAGGTGCTTAGCTGCACATCAACATTATGGCACCCAGGGACTGATTATTATTATTATTATTATTATAATCTGTAATAGCGATTTGGCTTCTTTTTTTTTGTCGTATGGCATATCAACCTCAATCGCTTATTTAATGTCGACAAGATTTTTATTGCTGTTAATATTTTTTTTAAAAAATGTATAGCTGGTTATTTTAAAAAAAAATGTATTGCTGGAAATAATGTATTGATGGTCATAATTTTTCTTCAAAAATTCATTGCTGGTAATAATTTTTTACAAAGTATTTCTAGTATTACAACCTATTTTTCACTTTCATACTGTTTTGACAACAGTTTGGGGGGGATTAATTATTTGCCCATATTTGGGACCCGAACAGGTGCTACCACCCCGGCTCAGGGTGGAACTGGGTGCACCAAAAATTAGGAGGTGGTTCCACGCTCCTGAAAACTTCCTGATCAGAAGCCTTGCTGCTGTTGGACGTAGTTTATTGTCATACCCAGAACTCTGATGTAGTTTTATCTTTTTATTCAGGACGCCAATGTAGCTTATCGTCATACCCAGGACGCGGATGTAGTTTATCGTCATACCCTGGACGCTGATGTAGTTTATCGTCATACCCATGATGCGGATGTAGTTTATTGTCTTACCCAGGACGCTAATGTAGTTTATGGTCTTACCCACGACGCGGATGTAGTTGATCGTCTTACCCAGGACGTGGATGTAGTTTAACGTCTTACCCAGGACGTGGATGTAGCTTAACGTCTTATCCAGGACTGCAGATGTAGTTTATCGTCTTACCCGGGATGCGGATGTAGTTTATAGTTATATCCAGGACGGTTGTAATAGCGGTTTAACGTTTGATATTCCTTACGTCTGTCAACGATCCTTTTTGAAAGGAATTGACCGAAATGTAGCCAAGAGGACTTCTTTTTTTTTCCTAAAGGAAATTTTCAACATGTCTGTTTTTCTATCGGAATTTCTGGGATGACGAGTTATCATTATCGACATTTTTTATATGCGAACTGTATATAGCTTAGTGGAATAAAGTGTGGGGGCGTGGATTTTGCAACATCAGTCAATCACCACGTGATACACATTTTGGTCGAACATGCATCTTTCAATAAACGACAGACAAGATAATTTTTTTCCTGCAGTAGGTTGCCATTACTTTCTGCGGTAGACTTACGCGTAAGTGAATAAGGAACTTGGAATTCGAACACGGATCCCCGATCTCTCAGTCCGAACCGATATCCATAACACCACAACTTTGGTAACATAGTAATTGGGAGTTCAATCCATGGGCCGGGTAGTGTGTACTTGGACTGGGTGGATACGGGGTGAAAACAATAATTGAAGAACACTAAATAAGAAAGAGAAATGATATCCATAACACCACAACGCAAAACCTTTGGTAGCATAGTAATTGGGAGTTCAATCCATGGGCCGGGTAGTGTGTACTTGGACTGGGTGGATACTGGGTGGCAACAATAATTGAAGAACACTAAATAAGAAATAGAAAGGATATCCATGACACCACAACTCAAAACCTTTGGTAACATAGTAATTGGGAGTTCAATCCATGGGCCGGGTAGTGTGTACTTGGCCTGGGTGGAAACGGGGTGGAAACAATAATTGAAGAACACTAAATAAGAAATTGAAGGGATATCAATTACACCACAACGCAAAACCTTTGGTAACATAGTAATTGGGAGTTCAATCCATGGGCCGGGTAGTGTGTACTTGGACTGGGTGGATACTGGGTGGCAACAATAATTGAAGAACACTAAATAAGAAATAGAAAGGATATCCATGACACCACAACGCAAAACCTTTGGTAACATAGTAATTGGGAGTTCAATCCATGGGCCGGGTAGTGTGTACTTGGCCTGGGTGGAAACGGGGTGGAAACAATAATTGAAGAACACTAAATAAGAAATAGAAAGGATATCCATGACACCACAACTCAAAACCTTTGGTAAAATAGTAATTGGGAGTTCAATCCATGGGCCGGGTAGTGTGTACTTGGCCTGGGTGGAAACGGGGTGGAAACAATAATTGAAGAACACTAAATAAGAAATAGAAAGGATATCCATGACACCACAACTCAAAACCTTTGGTAACATAGTAATTGGGAGTTCAATCCATGGGCCGGGTAGTGTGTACTTGGCCTGGGTGGAAACGGGGTGGAAACAATAATTGAAGAACACTAAATAAGAAATTGAAGGGATATCAATTACACCACAACGCAAAACCTTTGGTAACATAGTAATTGGGAGTTCAATCCATGGGCCGGGTAGTGTGTACTTGGCCTGGGTGGAAACGGGGTGGAAACAATAATTGAAGAACACTAAATAAGAAATAGAAAGGATATCCATGACAGCACAACGAAAATCCGCATCATTCAAATAATCTGAAAAGTAACATGCACACAAATGTCAGGAAGAAGGTGGCTTCCAAAAATTCAAATGACAAAGTTTAATAAATAAACTGCATAAACACATAACTTATATATTGCAAGCATTAGTTAACGGATTACCGCTGGAAAACATCGCCGAAATAAATAATGTAATCTATGTAACAGCTTCAGTAGACACTGGAAAATGACAAAGAAAAGTTCAAAGAAGAGACACAAAGAACCGGCTTGGAAGGCCAAATTAAAGGGAGATGTTGAGAAAATCAGATGTGAATTATCGATAGGAGACGTGGTCCAAGAAATTCCCACGTTTCAACACGGAAAAACTGGAAGATCAATCGAAAATATAAACTTAAAGCAGTAAATGAAATTCCACCAATCAAGGAAACGTGGTGAACAATATCTGAAGACACTAAAAAAAGAAATTGAAGGGATATCTGGGGACAAAAATCAACGGAATTAGAACAGTCCATCCCCGTAGATTAAATAAAGTGTTCTGTTCGAAATTCTTTGAAGGTCCCTCGGATCGATATGCATCTGACGAAGGCCGGAGATAACATTGGCCGAAACGCTATGATAACAACGTAAATAATGAGCCCCGCCTTTTCATGTATTTATATTTTGTTCGGCCAAAAATATAATGAAGAATACTGAGGAGAGTGCTGGAGCACAAAGTATACATGTTACATGATTTCCAGTAGAAGTCACAAGAGACATATTCTTTTATATGCCATGTCCCTTTAGGACGTGGGCGATCATGACTCTCCACAACTTCCCAACAGTTGTAGCTCATAGTGAAGATTGTTTTTTCATCATCACTGCTAATCCCTGACAAACATACACACAAGCAAGTTAGCTAGGTTATTCGAGGATTTCCTCTATCCCTCTGGCCTGTGAGTGTC